CCCCACTCTTACAGCAACTTCCCTAGACCCCATTTTCCCTAGGATGCTTCACAGGCACCTCAAGCTTAATGCATCCCAAACTGGATACATTCAATCCATCTCTGGTCAAACCCTGCCTCCACAAACCTGCTTGCCCCCATCTTTCCAATTGCTTAAGGCCCCAAACCTGTAAAAGTCACTGGACATCTTTCTCCAAATATCTTATTTTTTTTTAAAAAGAAGTTGAAAATCTAGGTTTCATGTGAAATTCCCTGATTTTGAGGCATTGGCACCTGAGTAAAAAAAAAAAAAAAACATGTAAGGAAGACAAAACATATCTGTGGGACAAAGGGAGTCTGCGGCCCACCAGTCTGAGACCCGGAGGATGGTAGGTCTTCCACTCACGCTTTTCCCCTCCCACGAGCTCCATCTCCTCCTGAAGGCATTTCTCACTCAGACCTCTGCAGCGGAGATACCACTCCTTGTGCCCTTTGGGCCCATTGCCAGGGTGGCCTCTAATGTCTGGGCTTGGTCTCACGGGGAAGCTTTCCCCTGGGCGCTAAGGGCTGAGGTATGGGAGGGGGAAAGGCGGCAGGAAGAACGGAGGACAGACACATCGCCTGATAAACAGAGAGGAGGTCGGAATGACCAGGTGGTCATCCTGGTCACGGGGGCACCGGGGCCCAACAGGCATTGCTGAAACCCATGAAGGAGGAACAAGACAGCTGGGCAACCGCGGCTAGATTCTTCTCCCATGCGCAAATCACGACGGCCGCGCCACGTGACATCCGGGCAACTCTCCACACGCAGGAAGTCGCAGGCTGATTAGATGAGAGCTCCCTCGTCCCCCTGAGCGCCCTCTGCGAGCTGCGGGCCCGACAGCCAACCAAACAGGTGAGTGGACAGACGGCTGAAGACCGAGCCAAACTACGAGGCCTCAGGGTTTTAGGTGAAGATGTTAAGAATGTGACAGTAACGAACACAGAAAAGGCTATGGCTTCAGTGATAACAGGACAGTGGGAGGCTGGACCCACGGGTGTCTCAGGGGTCAAGGAAAAAAATCAAATCAGAAATACACAAGAACAGAATTCAAGACGCCGAAGGTTCATTTCATTCTTGCAAAATTTGGATTTTAAAGAGGTTTGGTAAGACCTTAGTGAATAAGCCACATTCCTGAAAAAGAAACAGCGGATACAAATACCCTCAGAAGAATTTAAAGCAAATGGGGAGAAATCTTTTAGGTTTTTAGATCCACTTTCTGAGACTAGGCCAGGCCAGGTCTCAGGTCGTATCTGAACTCAAGTAAAAATTTTAGATAAGTTATTTTTGAAATTATTTGGTAAAACAAGCTCTGGAGTCATCAATAGGACTTTTGGCAATCTGAAGCAATACCAGAGAACTCTTTCTCTTGGCTTTGGGCCCATTTAGGGCTTTGGGCCCATTTATGGCACAAAATGCCATAAACAGCTTTTACTTGGTAGATAGAATAGAAAGTGGAGCTAAAATGGAGCTAAATGACTGATTTTTTAAAAGGCTGATGAGATTTTTGCCTAGCACTATGCACAAGCCAGATTCTAAACTACGTGAATAAAATAGGCCCTCTAAATGAAGAAAACCGAAAAGAAACTAGTATTGACTAACAGCATACTATGTCCTAAACATTATGTTAGGCACTTGCAGAAATATTTCATTAAGAAATGCATTTATGAACTTGTTTCTCAATTCATATATTACAAATTACCTTAAAAGTTACTAAATCAAGCATTTTAGCTCTCAAATTATGCTGTGTTAAAGAGGATCTTCTATTACAGAAAACAGGACTAATTTTGTTTTTCAGAAGCTATGTCTGAGTATTCATTCAAAGTGATAGAACTATTAAGTGTTTCCTTTAGGTTTTGTTCTGTCCAAATGGTATGTCAAGTAAGGCATTAGAAATGCTGCCTCCATGGCTCAAATTCATGCCAAATAAGATTCATATTAGGCCATCCTTTAGCAAAAACTTCACATAAAACAGCAAGGCTACACTGTTCTAGGTACAGCATGTGTTTTAAGATATCCACAGTTCTAAGATTCTGGGGCATCTAAATACTGCCTTGGTGACCTCATGACACCTGGTTGCTTGGAGCTGGTAAGACAAATTCTCACTTGTTCCGCCAAGCCCAAGTTGTTCTGAACCACTCCCCAGTTTCTCACTCTACCTGCCACCACCCACATGCTGTCCTAGGGAAGACCAGCACGCCCCAGGGCCACTAAGTCCTGGAGACCCCTAAGGTGATTCTGAGCCCAGCAATGGAGCATCGCATTCATGATGAGCTCCCAGAGGTCCACAGGGCATTCTGTGGAGTAGGTATGGTGACCCAAACGTTCATGATCATCTACTTCGGCTTAAAAGATCTGTGTCATAATTTTACATTCACTTGAAACAAAAAAAAGGAATAGAACTGTCTTTTCAGCCCTTCCCAATGGTATGAAAAATGTCTCTGGAGATGGATCGCTGCAAGAAAAACAAAGGCATTTTCTGGCACAGGGAAGGGAAAAAGGAGTTCTTCGATGGAGTTTCAACATTCCCAAATAGGCAGCAATGCGGTGAGACAAAGCAGCACTCTGAAAAGTCTTATCACAGAAGTGCGGAGTGGACACCCCCAAGGGCAGGAGCACCTGTGGGGCCACGGGCCAGCCAACGGCAAGCTAGTGGAGGGAGCCGCTCCCAACCTCCCCAGTGTGTCATATGCTCTATGGTTCTGGCAATAAACCAAGAAGATTTCCAAAATTAGCACTAATTTGTTGAGCCAGGAAGAAGAAACCATCCTAACCATTCTGGTCATTCAGATCTCAAACTTTTTCTGGGAAATTCATTCAGAGGATATAAAAACAACTGGGTTCTGGAGAGAGGGGGCCCTGGTTCTGACAAATAAGTCTCTCTCTCTCTCCCCCCGCCCCGCCAAAAAAAAAAAAAAAAAAAACAACCTTAACTCTGCTCTACCTGCTTCTTGTTCTTGTCAAAACAAAATAAATGCAAGCAGTGTCTGCGCAAACCAGGCGCTCACTGAAAGGTGCAGTGTGTTCAATTTTGGTGTTATGGTGAAAATCAGATGGAGTCCAAATGAACCATAGGGGAGAGAGTTGCTAGGCACCGGGGGCCACATTACATGAAAAACACAAATCTCTAAACACTAGAGTTGACTCCGTTTGGGAACTGAGACCAACTGGAAGGAGATCAGATTCACGTCTCCCCAATATATTCATCCCAGGACACGTGCTCATTGGGCAGAATTAAGTGGAATGGTGGGTAGAATTGCTCAGACTAGTAATGATTTTCTCCTTCACCCTCATCTTTTTGCTTGCTCAATGGAGTCTAGTCAATTACATTAACCATCTTCCCTATTATCACAAATTCAGTTCTAGGGGATCGAGGTATCATGGTCTGCGGGAGCACTGTTCAAAGTTGCAAGGTTCATTATGAGGCAATAAGAATGAAAAGAATCAGGCCCACATTTCCAAGCAAGACAGGCTGGTACTTGACAGGGCCAAGGACAGAGAGGCTAAAAAAAAAAAATGTTTCTCCAAATCCACCCCTTGATAGTGAATCTTTCTCTCTTTGTGTTACTTGGACAGTTGGTATATTTGAGAGTTTGCCTGCTTCATTCCAGAGAGGCAGGACTATCAAGAGGCTATAATACGTCAGAGACATATGCCAAGAGAACAGTTAGGGAGGAAAGAACACAAGACACTTATAATCCTTATCTGGGGGAATGTTGACAGAGTTTGCCCAGAAAAGAACAGAAAAGGAAACATTTCTGCCACAAAAAGCCAGACGTGCTCATTACTGTGGTGAGAGACATAAAGAGAGGACTCTGGATAATAAAATATGAGGAGTGAAAGGCCCTTTGTGTTCTGCCTGCCCAGGAATGCCCGTGCGGGACAGAGACTGCAGAGCCGAGCCCAACTCAATGAAGAGCTTGGCTGCTCATGGCTGTGTCTCAGGATCAACCCGACAGCTTGGCCTCCGTTCAAGAAACCTGAATCATCATCTTCATTCAACACAAATGAGTCAGAGGCTAAAGAACAGGGCCCGGGCCCTGGTCAGTGAGACCAGCCCTGCAACTAGGTTGTATTAACTGCTGAGTTAGAACCACCCCAGGGGGACTGCCAAACAAGCAATGTTGCCAAAAACAAGCTGTCTGCTGAGCGCTTTATGCCTGTGTGAATTCACTTCATCCTCATGACAACTCTGCAGGGTAAGTCTGATTCCCCTTGTCATTTTGCATATGGATAAACTGAGGCACAGAGGCTAAGCCATAGCGTAGGTAAATGGCAGAGTGAGAAGACACACCCTGCCTTTCTGGCTTCAGAGATCACGCTTACAGCTAGACCACCTCTCCAACAAAAAGGACTAATAATCTGATGTTTACTGAGTGCTAAGGCCCTCTTCCACCCTCTTCTACCCACTTCCTAGGACTACCTCCCTTAATGATCACAGTTAGTTTTGGAGGACATTGAGGCAGAGAAGTTCAGTAATGAGTAACCAACCAGGAAGAAGCTACTCCAGAATGTGAACTGAGCAGTGCGACTCCACAGCCCCTGCTCTGGACTGGGTCAGCACACTGCTACCAGCAGCTTGCTTCAGCTCCACAAGAACCACGGAGACAGCTGTTAAGATCCTCATTTTAGGGGGATGGGAACTGAAGCTTAGCAGCCACTAGGAAGCAGAAGTTGGGTTTGTGCCCACTATGAATTCATGACCATGACATAGGGACGATTTAACAGAGGGCCTGGCACCCAGGAGCGAATGGGAACCTTTTCCTGTAAGGTGGTTAAGTACCCTCTGGGTTACTCCAAACAAAGTAACTGATAACATCAAGGCCTTTCCCCACTATAGCCATGTTTCTCATAAGAGAAAGACTTCCCTTAAGTTCCCACCTGTTATTGACCTCAGAATGACCATGAGGAACCCCCCCAAATTTTAAATCCCACTCCCCTGCCCTGCCCACCTCCAACAACAGTTAAACCTTTGCACTTACGCTTTAAATGCTGGGAGGTAGGAGTATATAGAAACGCTGCTTAGGTTATAAATAAATGGCAGGTGTTTTCTGATATCTGTTGTTGCCCAGCTGTTAAAAAATGTGTTCAGTAAACCCTGGTCCCCACCTGAAAGAAAAAAAAAGTGAATTATAAGTCATAAACTTCAAAGACAGGTCAATAATTTTATAGGAACACATAACCGGATCTTTAAAAAATAGGTATACAGATTCCATTTTTAAAATAAGAAATTCTGTGTTAAACCTACCAAGGGCATTTTTAGGGGGTGGCCATTTTCCTGAGTTAATTCACGAATTCAACAAATATTTACTGAGCAGCTGCTATGGCCAGACACTGTGCCAGTCACTGAAGAGTCAACAGGGAACAGAGAGACTGTCATCATCTTCATGAGGGGCAGGGCAGGAGGAGGGGGGATACACTGGTACCAGCAAATTATAAGTCAATAAGCATCATCACAGATGGGGAGGGGAACGGCAAAACACTGGCTGCTACGAGGCATGTGGTGGAAGTGGCTCAAGAACATGGGATGCGTCAGGAAGGCTTCCATGAGGAAGCTGTACTGAAGCCAAGATCTGAGGGGTACACAGGAGTGCTTGACATAATACAGGGGGAGATGAGGAGGGCAGATGGTGTTTCAGGCAGAACAAACAGCATGTACCACAGAAGGGAGGTGGGCAGGAACATGAAGCCGTGGAAAGACCTGGAAGGTGGCCCGTATACGTGGACTGTGGCATGCGGGAAGGGGTTGCATGGCACCAGGTGGGTTTCAGAGGTAGGCATGGACCAGACCACACAGGGCTCAAACTATAGACTTTATCCCCAGATTTTTGACTTTATGTTAAGAGCTATGGGGGCACGGGTGGGGGTGGTAAAAAGCAAAAGAGAGCAAACTGGGATAATGGAATGGTCTTCCAGAGCCCCAGCTGTTGGCTCATTGACAGAGGCCCAGAAAGACACATCATCCTGATGCATTCTCCTACCATTGACCAAGCCTCTGGACAGGTCCAAGTCAGTCATCACTGGGACCAAGGTCAGCCACAACCACACAGCATAGTGTTTGCTTAGCCCCTGGGGGTTGCTGATCTTTATGCCTTCCTTGGAAAGTGACAACCATAGCCATTCATTCAAAAGAAATTAAAAAAAAAAAATCTAAACAGCTAAGTGTCTAACCTAAATCATAAACGCACAAGTAACCAAAGAGGTCACTAAGCCACCTCAAAACATATTCTGCTCCATAACCCATGTCCTTTCCGTTTTAGGCTCATGAGATTTCAGAAAACATGCACAGAACCAGTCTTCCATACAGCAAAACAGCAGCTTAAGTGGGTGGGGTGTGTGCATGTGCATACGAGTGTGCGAGCACAGTGTATGGGAGATGGCAGGCAGGGAGAATCCTTTTCTTTTGAAGTGCAAGGCTGCTATACTGAGCAGTTACCTCCCTCCTTAGTCTGCTTTGCCCCAAGACCCAGTTTTCTTCCTAAATACACAACAGACCCAACTGGCTATCATTATTATTTGGTTTTCATTGGTTTTGAAAGAGACTTTAAAAATCTGGAGATTATTTAATATTTGGAACTAAGGAGTAAGATCAAAGCATTCGGTTTGAAGTCCAAGTGTACCTCATCAATCCTCTGTGTATCTCATCCTTTCTAAATGTCCTCAGTCAACTCTATGGATCAAAGGCATTCATTGAACAAATGTCTACGGAGCAACCTCTTTGTATTATGAGACTCACATGGGTCCTCATTTCTCAAAGGACAAACAGCTCAACAGAAAATCAAGATTTTACCCTCATAAATTCTAAAGGACAATAAAGACAGTGGCAGGATGTGCTTCACTGTTACATAAACAAAAACAGTTTAGCTATATTGACAACATATTTTCAGACACAAAGTATTAAATATTAAAGCCAGAATACCATAGCATTCATCAGTGGCTTACTTTGGATTCTACAAAGACACCCCAAATGTGGGCATACACACTGGTGGTTGAGGTACAGAGGCCTGAAGACTTACTAATTTCCTTTTATGTATAATCATCAAAATAAAGGTTGAGGAAATGTTCATAGCAGCTTTATTCATAATAGCACAAAACTGGAAACAGTCCAAATGTCCTTCAACAGGTGTAGGAACATGATACCTCCATACAATGAAGAATTACTCAACAATATAAAGGAAAAAACTACGCATACCCACAGCAACTTGGATGGATCTCAAGAGAATTATGCTATGTGAAAAAAAATCCAGGCCTACTGTACCATTTATATAATATCCTTTACACCACAAAATTATAAAGATAGAGAACAGCTTTGTGGTTGTCAGGGGTCAAGGAGGGGGAGAGAGTGGGGGAGAAGCGGCCATGACTACAAGAGTAGCATGAGGGGTCCCCGTGACGAAACTGTTCCGTCTCGACCGTGGTGGTGGTCACACCAAGCTACACACGTAATAAAACTGCACAGCACACAGAAAACCCATATGCATACACAAACACACAACACATAAAACTCTTAAAACTGCTGAAATCTGAATAAAACTGATGGATTGTATCAATGTCCATTTCCTGTCTGTGGAATTATGTGAGATGTTACCATTGGGGAAACTGTGAAGGATACATGGGAACTTTCCGTATCGTTTCTTACAACTGCATGTGAATCTACTATTCTCTCAAAAATAAAAAAAAAAATTGAAAGTCTGAGGATTAATGTGCTTAAAATGCAAAAATATAATCAAGAACTGTTAGCCATTAGATTCTAAATTCCACAAGGACAGAGACTATGGCTTTTTGCTTATTACTATAGTTCTAGCACATAGCAGAATGCCTTACACATAAATTACTTGTAGAATGAATGCAAGAAACTTGAAGATGTTCTGTAATAGCAGAAAAATTGAAAAAACTTGAATATTCCACCAAAGAGGAATGGTTAGTACATTATGCTCCTAACCACTTGTGGGAATATTATTCAGCCATTAAAACAAAGGGCTATAAAGACCATCATTCCACCAAGCAATATAAAGATACACAGTGACAGACACCATTACCAAAACTAAGAACATAAAGATTCAGATTGGAAGAAAATAAATGAAACAACAGTAATTGTATAAGGGGACTGGTGTTACAGATATGCTCTCCCTGACTTTTCCTTAGTACAGCTGTATTATTTTTATAATTTTAAAATAATATGATGAGGGGAAAGAGCGAGATTGTGCCAAGACCTTTTCTAAATATCCCTTACCTGTTATCTTCATTATGAAATACACCATCAAAAGAAAAAAATATATGTGGGGTTTATAAAGCATATAATTATAAAACTCTGCCCAATACCCAATTTAAGTTCTCAAATGTTACCAATACTGTTTAAGTTCTATGTGGGCTCCCTAATTCAATCCCACTGCCCCTCCCCCAGAACTACTAATGGTGAATTTTGTTTGTAATGGTCTTGATTTCCTTGGTTTTACCACATGTATAAGTATCCCCAGACAACGTAGGAGTTTCACTTGTTTCTGAACTTTGAAAAATTGGGCATCATCCTATATACATTTTTCTACTAGTTTTTTCAGAAACAGAAAAAAAAATTAATTCCACTGAAAAGGACTGCTGACTACATGTAGGACAATGAAGAAATCTAATTCCATGAAGATCAGAATAGTAGTTGTAAAAAAGAACTTCCCAATCGGACAGGATGATCCCGGGAAACAGGAGTCAGAGCTCTTGATCCCTCAAAGCCCCTGGCCAGCTGCCCTTGGCCACCAAAGGCTGTTTCCGTTTACCCTCAGGTACCCTACAAACCTCATCAGTCCCTCAGCCATGTGCCACATCAGGGCCGAGCAGGTGGGACAGGAAACAAGCAAGAGGTGAAACGGGCAGGGAAGACCTGTGAGTCAGTCGTCCCATTCAACTGGAAAATCCTTAAACAGTCAACAAGGACCTCGCCTCTGGAGGGGACAGCACAGAGCATAAAAGTTCCATGGCCGCCGACCTCATTATGTGACTACAGAGGGTCAACTTCGAGCCCCAAATTGTGTATTAAAAATAGAATTAAACATCACTTGAAAGTCTGTAGCTTTTTACATAATTTTTAAGTTTAGTATTTCAAACATCTTTTTCCAAATGCACAATTCCACGTTTCAAGGTCAGGCAAATGTTTTAACTTCATCAGAAAAATCTGTATGTAGTATTATCAATACTGTCTTTTTAGAAGTCCCTAAATTAGAGCACAATTCAAAGCAGAATGCAAAGCTAAGTATGTCTGTGCTACAAAACACACAGGGATGCTATGAAGACTGCTGAATTTTCACTACAACCCCCCCAGGACTTTTTAGTCCATTACATTTCAGACTCCTGGAGGCAGCTTTATTTATTCTGACAGGTTAAGACACTTCTAATTTCAATCATCTCTGAACCGACAAACAGGATTAGGAGACCTCACTAGCAGCTGTGATCCATCAGGCCGGGGCGTGGCAACACAGGTGAGAAACAGAAAGGAAATGGGACAAGGGACACATGGCACCTGTTTTGCAAACAAGCAAATACCAGATTCTGCCTCATCCTTTCACCTGGCTGCCCAAGTATAGTGATAACCTTACAACCACCCAGTCTTCTCCAGGTCTTTTGAGCAGGGACATGAACCTGGTAACCACAGACACATCACAGCATCCATCAGAAACTCTATTTTATAAAACAGAAATGGAGTGCTGTCTTTCATATGAGTGCATTTGTTCTGGCCCTTCCGTAGTTTGCTGGCAGTTGGCCTGCCTCCTGTGGATAGCAGGGAGGGTGGGTCAATTCTGGTTTAAACATGAACCCTAGGAGCTCAGTCACAGGAATGTTCCCTCTAGACTCGTACTACTCGAAGTGGTCCAGGTTTTAGCACCACAGGCATCACCCAGGAGCTTGACAGAAATGCAGAATGCTAAGCCCCAACCTAGACCTACAGAATCAGAATCCACATTTTAATCCCTAGGTGATTTCTTTGCATATTAGAATATGTGAAGCACTGGTTTAGAGTCAGAACTAGGGAATGACTTTTTTTTCAATCAGAGAATGCAACTTGCACTGTCATTTCTATAGAAAACATCTGAAGTGACATAAATTAGGTATAGGCATTATGG